AAAATCAAGCTAAATTCAACCACGCAATTTTGCCACAGGGCGTTGATAAATATTATAAGATGAAAGAATAACTTTGGTTTTTCCCTGTATAATCAAGCCTTAATCTTTTCAGGAGAACTAATATTCAGGCTAACATTCCGGGACATAAAACTACGATTTGATTCAAATTTCACAAAAATCAGACAAGAATTAAAAAAGTTACAGGCTGAAAAAGTTGGGCAAATTTTTTGGTGGCAGTTTTTTTTTTTGCCGGTCCCGTTCTCCGTAAATGTCACCCTGTATATATATGTAGGTTCCTCTAGAAGTCATTTTCTGAAAGAGCTTACTGAATTTCGGTATCTATATTATTTTAATATGCTCCAACTAACCTCTGACTGTTTTTTTAATGGATTTCGAGGAACTCCTTTCGATGTCTTGATTTGCAGCCCTCTCAATCTGAAATTTAAAAATTATTCTAGGCACATAAAATGTAACATATACCTCGTATTTATCTTGCATTTTGTTTCTGCAACTCGAATTTGATTTTTCGTCTCATTAGAACATCGTTGTGGCCGAGTTGAAATTTTTGCAAAGGCTGTGTCAAGATGGCACAAGCCTTGCTCCTCAATTTGTTATCTGCCAAATTTAGCGACAACAGGTTCCTGTTAATTCGCAAAAAATCTGCCACATACAATATGCCTTCATCGAAAATACTGTTACTTGCAAGATTCAGGTGTAACAGAGAATTTCCTAAAAAAAGTGTTTCAAGTGTTGTGGCTTCGGTCTTTATCTATAACGTTAGGTGTAGGTATTCTATCATGCAGACATAATATTTCTTCCTGAGGAAACATCCAATTCCAAATTGGGGAGGAAAAAATATTACCTCCCGTCTCATTTACCTGTAGGAGTACTAAGTTCTTTGGCAATTCTCTCAACACCCACTGTATTGATCCCACATAACTTTAAAGATACAGAAAATAGTTGTGTGTCACGCAATACTAAAAAATGGTTTTGTTCCTCTAGGGGATTCCCATTCAGACTCAACTCCTTTATTGTATCGTGGGTTTTCAAAATGTCCACTAACGAGTCTATATGGTCCAGTGTCATATTGCAATTCTCAAATCTGGCGTAAAAAAAATTTCTCAGGGGGAATTATTCTTCCATTGTTCTACAGGTTGATAGAAAAAAATTTGGGAGTATCGTCACATAAAGGTAAAATGTGCTTACTTCAATGTACTGATGAATTTATACGGTTCCATCCAGTATTTCAGAGCAAACATCATTTTATTCTCGATACCATTGTTCTTGATGAAAATTTTGTCCAACTCATTCAATTCATCTATCTTTTTGAAACCAAACTGAATCTTGTATGGATTGTCGTCTAAGTGAGTACCGTCGAATGAGGTGGCTTCGGACGATTTTTACAGTTTTTTCGCTGTAACTTTTTGAAAAATCAATGTTTTGACACGAAATTTTCACGAAATGTAGCACTCATATTAATGAACCGATTCGTAGTATAGAACTTTTGTTTTCATTTTTAGGAATATTTTTTTTTTATTTTGAAAAGTGTCCGAAGTTACCTGGATAGGTGTGGTGAATTCGGACACCCCTTCAAAAGCGCATGAAAACGACATCCAGCTTCATCAGACTCAACTTCGGACATGAATTCGAATTTAAAAAAAAAATGGAACATCAAAAATTCAATTTTTTTTCCGAATTTATTTTATCTTAGGAAATTGACTTCGGACGCGCATTGTTGACGATAGGAAATTTATTTCTCGTCTCAACAAAAATAATTCGGACACAACATGAGAAAAATATTTTTTATTTGAAAAAGATTCTTTAAGAATAAAATAAATAGTAACATTCTTACAAAAATAAAATAGCATTCTGCCTAAAAAATAATCAACAAAGTAGGAACTTACTTCATGTATCACAAAAAAACGAATGAAGCTATCCTATGACAATATCATTCAAATCACAAAATTTGTATTTTCCTCTTCTGAACTCAAGAAGCTAACTTGGAAGTGATTATCTCCCAATTGTGATGAAATTTGGGCAACATAAAGTTTATATTTCTTAGAATTGAATATAGGCACTTTGATTATTGCGAAATCATTTTTCTTCAAATTTTCTAAATCAGTCTTAGTAGAAATAGTTTCTACTCTCTCGTTAGTGTCCTCTTCTGACGATTCATTGGTACGATTGGTACGAACGTCCGCCAAGGATTTTTCTATAGGTCCGGCCCATGTCCGAAGTCTTCCGCAATAATGCTGATGTTCTGGTTATCGCCCTGTATAAAAAAAATTCTATGAAATTTTCAAACAGATACATCATCAAAGCATTCTTTGAACATCACCCTTTGATTGAACATATGCCACTGAGCTCTACATTCAACACAAAAAGTGCTACAGCAGTTACTTTTTCACTTTTGAGAATTCGCAATAAAAATACGCTCATATAAATACCGACGTGAACAATTCTTCCTTACCTCTCTACGCAAACTACACTCTCGACCACCGGACTATACTAACAAGATTCAACCTGCAGAAGATTCACGTCTATCGCGATACCTGCTTCCGCGACATTCACGATTGAGAGCGAAAAGTACCGACTGTCCGAAATCACCGGTACCGTCCGAAGCCACCTCATTCGACGGTATATTTCTAAAACGAAGATGTAGGCCATAATGACAAAAATTGAAAACGTGTATGGGTTTTTTTTCTCGAGAAACGAAAAAAGATTCTTTTGATTTTTCAATATCCTCAATAAAATATAATGATACGAAACGAACGAATAATGCGAAAAGAACGATTGAAACGAATGAAATGAATGAAACAAATGAAATGAATGAAACGAAAGAAAGGTATGCGGAGAATGAAACGAAAAAACTAATGATAAGAAAAGAACGAACGAAGCGAAAAAGACGAATGAAGCGAAAGACACGAATGAAGCGAAAAGAACGATTGAAACGATTCAAATGAATGAAACGGATGAAACGTTTGAAATGAATGATGGTGAAATCATATGCACAACTTAATCGAATAAGATATACTATATGTAGTAAAAATAGCTTTTTATATATCAAGGGAGCAAAGCTATCCATTTCCTCCCGCGTGTCAAGTTTGATGCCCGACACACATGGGAAGAAATTAACCTTTGCTCCAAGATACATATACAGGGTGGCATTGAAATAAGTGCAAATATTTTAAACACTGAGAAAACTCGACGTGTACTATCGAATAGCACTTATAGCACTTTGGGGATCAAAATAAAATTCGAGTTCATGTGATAGGCACAATCACGCGGAGTTCAATCATTTAAATTGTTTTAAAGTGGCGTACTTGATTTTTTTCTCGTATTTCGCCCAATTTTTGGGATGAAATTTATTGAACCTAACCTACGAATAAGAAAAAGGTAAAACTGCATTTAGCATGCGATGGTTTTTTTTTCGAGAATTTGTTTTGGTGAAAAGAAGGAAGAATATCATTTGAAATAATGGCGTGTGTAATGTCATTCCAAGGCAATCTATTGACATTTGACATCTTGTATTTGGATTGCCTATGGATTAAATGGCCGTTATCTGGTATGCTCTTGCTCACTAAATAGGAAAAATTCACCATAAAAATCATATTTCCTGTTGAATTTTCTGTATAAAAATGTGTCATAGAAGTACATCATGAGTATATTATATAAAGTGTCCAAAGACAAAATAACAAGAGCAAGTAGGTACCTGTAAATGCATCCAACGCAAGGAGAAAAGGGAGTCGAAATTTCGAACTTTTTTTGAAATATCTCGATAAATAGTGGTTTGTTCACATTTTCATTGTCAAATTCGTGTTTTTCAGACAAAAATACGTAAGTACAAAAAAAAAAATCGAAAAAAAACCCATCGCATGCTATATAAATGCAGTTTTACCAAGAAAGATATAATAATCATATGGATGTACCTTATCATCATCGATATTGACAGGGCTGGGCATTTTTGTACATTTGTAGAATTCGCACGTTTTCCTCAACGCCGCATAGATATCGTTCATGTATACCATGATGTTAATGGTTGCTTTATAAGGCGATGGGCCCAAACTTTTTCTTATTTTCGTCTTCGGCGTACTTTCCCTATCTGCACTAGAGCTTCCATGTTTGGTTGGAGCAGTCGACATCTTTTGCTGATTTCCTCACCTTATCTGGATTTCTCTCAGCGTTTTCAGATCACTGATTGTCGTCTAGTCAACGTCACTTTGACAACAGATAGTAATTTTTTTCCGGACTATTTCATACCGGGTGACACGTTATTATTCCTGTAGTCTTGTATTTTACACGTTCTATGTACAGTCGTATTCAATAAAAAAGCGTACAAGATTTAAAAAGAGAGGTTCTTGTCATTCTAGTTCTAGTTGTGTAAAACTGTGCTCAGCCAAGACTATGTGTTTTTGACAACTTATCGACAACTTTACTGTCAACATTTGGCGAAAAATCATCCCCAATAGACCGTTTTTCGCTAATAGAATGACATTAATTTCTCGCTGTAATATACATGTACGCTACGCTTTTTTTTAATACGACTGTATCTACTCGTTTTATATTCCATAAAAATAATGTCGATCCAAGAATTAACTCAACTTAATGTGAATTTTAGTTTTCTAAGTGCGGATTAATGCAGCATCAATTTACAATTATCAAGTAACAATTATCGAGTAAGGAGTAGCTAAAATGTTACCATTTATGCTAACCAAATTAACAGTCAAAAATAAAGAATACGCAGGCGCAAAAGTCCATTCCAAGCCATTCAAGATAACCAAAGAAATTTTTTTCATAATATATTAGACACAAATTTGGGATATTGCTATCACAAGTGGGGCCAAGACTCAAAAATAATAGGAATTATGAAAAGTATAAAGTAACACAAAACCGGGAAATGTTTTGAGGTTATTCTCCATCATAGGATGACGAAATAATTGAAAATCACGTCCAACATGGTGTAATTTTTGCCAGACATGATCTTCCAACACTTCTAAACCATGTGGTACCTGATCGTGACGGCCCGCAGCCTCGTCTGGGTCCTTCTCACGCTCTTCTCTGCCCTGCTGATGCTCAGCGCCCTGCTGAGCCCCTCCTGGCTGATCTCCTTCCCTGAGACAGCCACCTTCGACAACGAAACGGTCAAATTCAGGCCGAGCGTCGGCGTGTACGCCAAATGCGGTCGACCGGCGGGGGTGGATCACCCCCCTTGCACCCTGTTGGCAGTCAGGGGGCTGGGCACCGAGGCGCATATCTACCCTGATGCGTGGAAGGCGGCGACTGTGTTCATAGCTTCAGGTGAGTAAAGTCGGGGGTCTACGGATTTTTTTTTAATTGGCAACATTGTAAAGTAATGAAATTCCAGTTCATGATGTCTATGGAAATTATTCGTGCAGGCAACATTGAACATGATCAACATTCCGTTCTATAGTACTTCTCATTCAGTTATGCTCCGTCCTCATCTTATTAAATTAACGAGAAAACCCCGTTATGTTCGTTGATTTAGTGAGAAAGATAATTTGGATGTCTACTGAAATTTTTCTTGAAACTGGCAATATTGTACATTTTGTTCATAGTACTTTTCATTCCGTAATGTGGAAGGCAGCGACTTTGCTCAGGTGCGTCAGATGAGAGGAGTCGGGGGTCTACGGACTTTTTTTTTCGGTGTGGATGGCAACGTTGTGAATTGTCAAAATTTCAATTTTTAGTAAAAGTAGGAAGATATGTTCGTTGATTTAGTGAGAGGAAATAATTCGGATGTCTACTGAAATCATTCGTGAAGCTCGCAACATTATACAAGATCAAAATTTCGTTCATAGATGGAAAACTCTAATAAATTGGTTATTTTTATTTCAGGTTTATTCATTATGTCAGTAACCGTATGTATGGGTCTGCTGAGTTGTTGTTTCCAAAGTATATTTAAAAAGAGCATTTTCAACATATCTGGAGCTGCTCAAGCCATTGCAGGTATGTCATTAAAATTATTTTTTTAACTTCGAAAAAAAATTCTATGCATGTGTCCCGTGACTCGAAGCCCATAGCTTAAGGGCATATTCCCTGAACAATAATTTCAAGTCAAAGGTGCGCCTTATACATTTTGTCTGAAACTCGCTATAGTCGAGGAGTAATAGGCAATATTAATCAAACAGTAATAATATACAAGGTGTCCCAGAACAAAAGTACCATAAATTCTACATACATATATCAATTGAAATTCAAATGACACTTCCTGAAATACAATTGACGCTTTCTGAAATACAATTGCCACTTACTGAAATAGAATTGACATTTCTAAAATTGAATTGACCATTCTGAAATACAAATCGCGCTTTCTGAAATAATACAATTTATGCTTCCTGAAATTCAATTGACTATTCTGAAATCAATTGACGCTTTCTGAAATTCAATTGACTATTCAGAAATACAATTGATGCTTTCTAAAATTGAATTGACGATTTCTGAAATTGAATTGACGCTTTCTGAAATTGAATTGACGCTTTCTGAAATTGAATTGACGCGTTCTGAAATACAACTGGAGAAGAGGTAGTACCTTTATCATGCTTCTAACTTTCAATCACTAATTATCCACAGAAATATGTTTTTTTTAGAAAATAACAATCTCCGCTTCAAATTTCTGTTATGTTGTATACAAAGTTGATGTATCATCTATCATTCAGGAGCACGTTTATTTTAATTCATTTTTTCAGTATTAAAATGATGCCGAAGTCATCTACCAAAATATCATCAAACTACTTCACGTATTTAACCAAAGTTTTTAGGATAGCTTTGTCGAAGTAACAATTATTAGAATAAGAAACAAAAATATGTCAGGAACTAAAAGTTGTAATAAAACGTTCAAATTCGAGACAAATGTGTAAAATTGTTATAGAAACAACTTTTCTCGGTGGACTTTCTCGAAATTCGAACAAATAAGCCTATTTTCAGCGATTAATTTGAAAACACTTAACTTTTGACATGTAGCGAAGTCACGTGACTCCGACCGAGTAGGCCGTTTTTCATATTTTTGTAAGCAAAACTCAACGGTTGAGTCGAATTTCAAAATAAATTATTAAAAAATTTTCCCATATACAGCTAGGGCGTATCTAAATAACACCGAAAAAATTCGACGGCTGATTACTTGTGATATTCTAGCAAATAAAGTTCATATAAACATGTGTCCTAACTTGCTCCGTATTTGAGATACAGGATGTTGAAGTTGGAAGTATTAATTGTTTTTATTTATAGCCCCCCTGTATAAGCTTTCATGATTCCAAAATTTAGTATGGTATGGAGACTTTGAAAGCCCTAATATTTCAGAATGATACTAATTGGGGTTATCTAATAATCTCAAAGGAAGTCTTGAACACACGCCTAAATTAAAATTTGGAGTCAAATCGAATTTTTATTGTTTCCCAAAAAATTAAGCTAGATACAAAAATTACTCAAAGGATAAAAAAGTTCAATAGTTCAATCTAATTTTATTGAAATTGATGGAAAGACAATTGAGGAATTGAGTAATGAATAAAAAAACGATTTTTTATGGAAATATTAATACCCTGTATCTCGAAACGAAGCAAGTTAGGACACATGTTTATATGAACTTTATTTCCTAAAATATCACAAGGAATCACCCCTTGAATTTTTTCGGTGTTATTTACGGCACACTGTATACACAGTATATATTTAACAAAATTGAACTTTTCGCCACAACTGGTGAATTCGATGTAGCTTGTCCATTTGAACGACTTTGTAGCTTCAATAATAACCAAGTTAGCAATAGTGCCGTAGTGCCGAATTCGGGATAGAAATTAACACGTCGCCCTACCTGACGGTAACAACTTGAACACTCCTAAGCAGTTTTCAAAACAAAGTAAACAGACCGCTTTGACAGCTCTCAACAACTCCGATAGGTGGCGTAAGCTTATTTTCTATCCAATTTCTATCGCGAATTGAGTTTGAAAACCCTGTAGGTATACGCTGAATTCCAGGTATCTGCTACATAATCGGGGTGATGCTCCACCCGATGGCGTGGGGCAGCTCGAGAGTGCAGAAGCTGTGCGGCAGGGACGCCTCGCCCTTCTATCCGGGCGACTGTTCGCTGGGCGCGGGCCTCTATCTGGCCGTCGCCGGTACGGTCCTGACCTTCGCGTGCGCCTGTCTGTCGCTGCCCGCCGAGAAGTCCACCAGCAGCGATAAGGTGCAGGACAAGATCTACGAGGGGCAGACGCTGATTTGTTTGACGTAGAAATCGATGTGAGTGATAGTTTTTGAGATTGAGGAATGATTATTTATTGATACTGCCCGAAATGGTACACCATGTGCCATAAGGATGCGATGCAACGAATAATCCGTGTGGTGAGGATAATCTTTCCTCTATAAATCTGTTTTGTACTTAAATTCGCAGGCACTTGATATCTCCAAGGCATTCGATCGAGTCTGGCACCACGGACTCCTCGCCAAGCTTCCATCTTTATGGCTTGCCTCCCCAGCTATGTTCTCTGCTAGCTAGTTTTCTCTCAAACAGGTCTCTCCATGTAGTGGTCGACGGAGTTTCATCTGACTCTCTTATCATGAATGTTGGTGTTCCACAAAGATCAATTCTAGCACCAACACTATTTCTACTCCATATCAACGATTTGTTGGAAGCAACTTCATGTCCAGTACACAGCTTCGCGGATGATAGTACCCTCCATACCGCCGTCTCTTCCAGGGCTCCAATACCAGCCAGGCAAATCAGAAACGAACGAGGAAGAAATGTTGGCAATATGAATATGTACATAGGAGTGGGTGATAATTTTTGTTGGTTACTCGACCGAAAAGATACATATAATAATGAAGATGATGGAAATTAGGGCTTTCCATCATCTTCATTATTAAATATGAATATGGACTTGGCAACAATTCTCGAATGGGGATCCAATAATATGGTAGATTTCAATGCAAACAAAACACAAGCATGTCTTTTCTCTAGAAAAGCCGATCTCACTGTTCCAAACATAAGTTTGTCAGGAGTAACCATACCTTTGAAGACATCCATTTTGATGCTTGGTATTATTGTCAGCAATAATCTTTCTTGGGAAAATCACCCTGAAACTGTTGGATTCTGTCCAAAAAAGGGCAATTCGTCTCGTGGGTGATGCCTCGCTCACAAACTCACCCACTTCTCTAGAACACTGTAGAAAAGTAGAGATCTGGTTCTATTTTATAGATATTTTCATGGACGATGCTCTTCTGAAATATCAACAATTGTGCCTCCCTTGGCAGTCCCCGCGAGCTTAACCCGTCGAGTTGAGGCTTTCGCACCCCTTCGTGGTCACTTTGGAGACCTGCAGTACATCTCTTTCCAAAGATTCGTTCATCCAACAAACAGCGAGGCTCTGGAAGACATTGCCAAGGGAGGTGTTCCCCGAGGCATATAACCTCCACAAATTTAACACCAATTCCTACCTTATTTCCCTTGGTTCTCAGGATGTTCTCTGAACATTACAGGATATTCCTTTTCGTGGGAACCAGAACATAAAAAAACTGTGGGGGCCGATAGATAGCTATTTGACTGACGTTTTGTTTCAACCTTAAATCGCAACAAATGAGCCCTTGATATTTTCAGTCTATTTTCAGTAACCCAGTGCCATTGATAGGCAGAATAATGTTGGGTCCATAGTGGAAGGAGAAGATGGTGTGCTCAACAGAAAGCTCAAACTCGTCTTGTTCTGCGCATGACGTCAGCTGGCAGTGTTTTAAAATGGCGACTGAGCTGAGCGATGTTACCAAGACAACGACTTTTCTCCAAAGCAAACTTGATTGACAGCAATATATTCGAGTTTTTGGTTGGGTTTGAAATACTTAACCAAAATGTCATTTTTCATTTTCCAAACGTTAATATTTCAAAAACCATTGAATGTGGAGTGAAGTATATGGAATAAAACTATAAGAAATCATGAGAAGATCCCAAAAATGGAATGATATGCAGGGCTGTTCCATTTAAAAAAATATTCAAGATGGCGCTCAGCCGCCATTGTAAAACATTAGGCTGTTATTAAAAAAAAAAAAGTTTTCATCTCCTATTTGAGCCTTCCAAATTTTGATGCAACATACCAGGTGTATTGAAAATTAGTAGAGGGTAACGGAGTTTAGATGGATATACTGTATGCTGCCATTTCATGTTGATGAGGATGGGTTTATACAATGTTGATTCATTATGAATAGTGGATTCATTTCTTTATTCCATTGACGTCGTAAGTATAACGCTCAAATGAATTCAAACATACAGATATGTCAAAAATGATTTAAAATTGCAAATATTCATTCGAATGTTTTGCCTGTGGCATTTCAGTTAGTATTTATTAATACAACTTAGACTCACAAATACGAATTTAACAACAGTTCAAATTCAATCAAATAAATCACAGATTTTGAATTGAGCTGAAGAACGTCCATTATAATCATTCAAAACCTATGAAATCATCAAACATTCTCCATCAGCTTCTCCCAAACCAGACACTTATTGTTAGCAGGCAAATCATAAATACAAACGAGTTTGATCCCGTAAGTCTCCGCTACCTTGACCAAATCCTGTATATCCCTCACCCCACAATTAGGATCCTTCAACCTGATGTTCCTATCGAAATCCCTATTCGACTGCGGTTCCAACACCCCATTGTTAGCGTAAGCCCCGTAAGTGAAAAGCAGCCCTTTAGGCTTGAGCGCCTCGCTCACATTCTTGAACAGCCCTATCGAGCAAGAAAACGGGGTCACGTGGATCATGTTGACGTTGATGACGTAATCAAAGTCCCCGGCTAGCCCCCACTTCGCGAAATCCTCCATTACGTTGACGAATAAGGCCTTTTTGACGTTTTTAGTCGGTACGTCATCAGCGTAGGCGTCGATGCTGTCAAACAAGGACGTCTCGACTTCCGTCGGTTGGAAAGTCAGCTTCGGAAAGTTCGGAGCGAAATGAGCCAGGTGCTGTCCAGTGCCGGACGATATCTCGAGTACTTTGCCCTCGACTGTGTGGTCGATGTGCTTCTGCAGGACTTCGAGGATCGGCGTCTTGTTTCTGTCGGCCGAAGGGTAGTTTATTTTTCTGCTAGTGGAAGCAGAAAAATAGATTTAGGGTCTAGCAAGTAAAGTAATATTCTTTTATCGTCTAGACAGTAAAGTCGCACTTCTACCATCTAGTCGGTAAAGTCGTACTTCTACCATCTAGTCGGTAAAGTCGCACTTCTACCATCTAGTCAGTAAAGTAGTACTTTTTCTGCATATGCAGTTGACGCATATTTTTTCATTGACTGTCGAGTAAAAGCTGCTCACAATTTTGATAATAATTGGCACTACTCTGGTATATCTACAATTTGTTGGTGTCTTTCCTGGCTGCCTGTATAAATACATGAAGCATTAACATCACTCAAAGACCTAGACACACAAGAAGCGCTTTTACTGTCTAGTCATTAAAGTAGTACTTTGATGCTTGGGCAGTGAAGTAGCAATTCTACTGCCTAGGTAGTCGAATTATATTTCGTACTGCCGGATGAAGGTGATAATAAAAAAACACTTTCACTGTCTAGGTAGTAAAAGCGGTCATATTTCCTATTTGAGAAGAAACATATCAAATTGTCTGTCCGTAATTCATCCTTTAATTTCCTGTATGCAGGGTGTTTTCGGAGTTGGGGCGATAGATAAAATAGGCTTTTGTATGAGACACACGATAAATCAAAAAGGAAATGTCCATTTTTTTATTCTTTGAAAGAATGTGCGCTCACCATACGGCACATCTTTCAACTATTATTGAATATTCGGCAACATTGCATAAATCGGTGATACTTATTCGCTGATGTTTATTCTGACTTCATCAGAAGCAATCGTCATCTGATTCACAGAAGTTTGAGTCAATCTTGAACTCAATATCTTCCAAAACAATTTGTTTTCCACAAAAATATGTACTCTTTCATTCCGGTTTTTGTTTTTCATATCCTATTAACTATTACTCACCCATTTCATTTATCGCCCTAATTTCGGAAACACTATGTATATAGGTAGTGATATAGCCCATTTGCTGCCTATGCAGTTGAAGTGTATTTTTACTACCATGGAAGGAATATTGAGGGAACTGTTTTGAGCAAACTAGGAAGATATTATTCTCGTCTTTTGGTTTTGTTCTCCGTCGATTTGTTGTTTCGTCTTCCACCAAGTGTTGCCTATCTTTTGAACTTTTTTCACCGTACTGATGAGGGCCGAAAGCTCGAAACACGTGTCTGCGGTCAACTCTTTCTGAGGGCTATGTCCAATAATATCTTCCTAGTTTTTTACTACCCCTAGAGTAGTTTCTGTTCAATGAAAAAGTGTAATTTGAATAACGGTTTAAAAACACAAAAAATGGAGGAAGAGGAACAAAATTCTTAAAATTATCGGAGGTAAATCTACAATTTTATTTTGAACGTCCTATTCAGGCAGATGTGTAACAACTCACCTCATTCTAATAAGTCCAGAAGAAAAGTGCTTTATCAATAACTGCATCTGCAACAAATTTTTTATGTACCCAGATATCGTCCGAGCATATTTTATAATGATACCAAATATTCAATATCAATGTATGTACTTATATTTATACCTTGAATTTTTTATAATATTTATAAAGGGTGTCCCACAAGTATAGGTGAAACTTTATCAGTGATCAATAATAGTACAGTTAAAATAATACTAGTCAAATTGTCCAAAAGTCTGTCAGTTCTGAAAATATTTGCCTGAAAGTGAAGGTTTTTCTCAATTGTCCTTCCGATTATAATATTTTCATGAAAGTTCATTTGAATTTCTAGTCCTAGTATTATTTTCATCTGTACCTACAAATGAAAATTTTGCCTCAAATACTCAAAAAGGGCACCCACCCTTGAAGCTTCAAGTATAATAGCTTTTGTATCTTATGAAAAAAATTTTTACATTGTACTTTTTAATCTCGTTTTTAATAAATTATATCAGTTTGTAAAATTTGCATTTCAATATCTACCTAAATATTAGAAGTAGAATTAAAAGAGTTTCGGGTAATGTCAATTTTTTATTTTCTCAACAGAAAAACTATTCTGAAAACATGTTATTGAATGAGTAAGATTACACTGATGCTTGTAATAACCACTAGTTTTTTGTTTGAAAGTCAATAATGTTTGTGAAAAGTTCAATTGGCCACAATTAAATCAACAGGATGATAAATTCTATATTCCAATCATAACAATAAGTGTCTATACATCTTCATTTTTCTTTTATATTCTTCTTTTTGCTCTTGGTTATTACATTAGGAGGTATGTAGACTCCATGTCCAGTTTTTTTCAAGTGGTCAAACAGTTTATTTTTGGAAGTAAAATTAGATTTACAGGTGACACAATTGTGATCAGTATCAATTTCTTGTATCTCACTAGCTGTTATTTCATTTTTGCCTTTCTTTTCTTTTTTCTTCCTCATTGCAACTTTCTTTTCACTGACTTTTTCAGGAGTTTCTTCAGTGGACTTCTCTTGGTTTTCCTGGGCATCATCTTTAACTTTATTAATAGTATTAGTAGCATTTTTTCTATTTTTTTTCTTAGGTTTTTTGTTGGTACCAAAGTTATCATCAGAATTTTCTACTAATTCCAAGCTACCTAAATCTTGAATTTCCACTTCATCCAAGTTTATTATGTTCCTAGGTTTTTTCTTCTTTTTTCTACTCTTCTGAGTATCATCTATAGACTCAGATTCTGAAGGGACATCTGTCAAAACTTCTTCCTCCACAATTTCAACTAGGGAATCATTGGTTTCTACTTCATCATTATTCTCAATATTTGAGGATATATCAATTTCTTCTTCCAACATGGTTTCTTTCAAAGAAAACACATTTTCTTTGTGTTTTTTACTGCTTTCATGATTTTCAAAGGCCTTAGGAGTTTTGAAAATTTTGTTGCAAGCCACACAATATAAATTATTAAGATATTCATCATCAGATTCGTTTTCAGAATTAGAAAATTCCTCACCAAATTGTTCTGCCAGGGTCCTCTCAATTTCTTTCAATTCTGACTTCACATTATCAAACTTTGTCCACTCAGGTTGGTCCTTAGATTTATTCAATTCTTCTTGCCTCTCCAATCTTTTCTGTTTACTCAGCATTTCTCTTTTCTTCTTATCCTCCAACAATTTTTGTTCCTGTACCTTTTTCTGAGCTTGTACACGTTTGTCACGTTTTCTCACAAAAGCTACAAGACTTCTCAGTTCCTCATTTCTTTCCTTCTTGGCATTCTGTCGGACCTTTTTATTTTCCTTTTCAACTAACTTAAGATACCTCCTGTCCCTTATGTCTTTAATGTCATGGGGATCTAGCCAAACATAGCTTTTCTTAGTAGAATAGTTGAGCCAATATGCATAGAACTCTGAAACATTTTCATAGTCAGATTGGGAGTTGCCAAAGCTAGGAATATCACAGAACTCTTCTTTATCTTCCATAAATTCCATATCTTCTTTGGCAATTTTCTCAAAAACATTGCGATAAACAGCATAGAAACCATTCTCATCATCTCCATACCCTTTGAAACATGTTGTAGTGAAATACTGGAATACGTCCAGACTCTTGTCTTGGAAATTCGAACTGGAACCACGCAAAATCTGCTCCCTGTGGTTGTCATACCAAGCTCTCTCTTGTCGGTCACTTAGAACTTCATAAGCTTGCTGAACGATTTGGAACTGCTCCTTAGCGTTTTCTGGATCGTTCAAATTCTTGTCGGGGTGCCATTTCAGGGCTAACTTTCTGTAGGAAGATTTGATCTCGGCATCGTCTGCATCTCGAGGAACGTCCAGAACTTCATAATGACACTTCATTTTCGCGAGGTTAGATACTATTTTAGGTGAAAAATAGTTATACTGATATGAGACTGAAAGATTCAATGAATGACAGGCAATAAATAGTGGGGAAAGTTACTAATTTTCTCTTGAAACTTTTATATAAATAAATATGTTGACAAAAGCATGCTAAATTTGGTTATTGCTTACCTGTCGCTGAGTTGAAATGTCAAATATATATAAGTTCTTCTGTTTCATTCTTTTCTAGTTAGCTGTCATGACCAAAGGTCAGGACTATAAACCTATCATTTCTAGTTATGGGAGGCTTTAGGCAACTTTTCCATAAACAAGTTATTCGCGAAAATCGCGAAGTGTGCGGCCTCTGGTGGCTAAATTTACAAGCCTTGCGAGTATGAACAACAAATATGGCGACCATTGTTTTGAGTTTCTGTGTTTTATTTGAAAATAATTTATTTGTTGAAGTGCATATTCCAGAACCTCATTTTTCCCTGATAAAAAAAACTCGAATTATTGCATGAACCTTTATTGTTTACAATGATGAAGCCAGCACCTACCTTATAATAATATAATATACATTTTCTGAAGCACAGTTAGAATCCTTGTATGAATATTGGTTGCAATGATTCAATCTTGAGAATAACTTCAAGTCTTCAATTGCTGGAGATCCTTTTTTATGTAAATCGATGATATTGTTCATTCTGAGCAGCCTCTCCAACCATATCTTCTTTTCCCAGCCCCTTCACTAGAATTCCATCTCCTTCATAAAAGCCAGTGATATTTCTTGATGAATTCAATTATTTCTTCATACCTATACCATATTGTTGTAGTAGCTGATTGCTTATATGGCTCCATTCCAGTCCATGCAAGTGTTGAGTGGACCATTCTGACCATTCCATATGTTTGAAAACTGTGGAATTGTAGTGAGATATCAATGATGAATACCACCATTGTCCACATCAAAATGGCAATTTCTCTGCACAAAAAGTAGTTTTCTCCATACTGAAAACCTTGTACGTATTTCACGAAGTCAACTCATTATTCACTATTTTGCAAAATGATTTCGAAATAACCAATTTGCAATGAGTGCATACGGCAATGTTTTTGTTGTTCATACTCAGTTTGAAATTTGACGTTGATTTGACGTTTAATAGAGCCATCTATTGGTTCGTGATTTTCGCGAATTCCGCAAACGGAAAACTTCATTTGGCACATATACCTATAGTGCATTTTACAAAAGCAGAAGAAAGAATCTAACCTATATCGTAAGCCACTGAACACCTGTCAGAAATGTGACGGATTGGTGACGGAAGTAAATGAGAAATGTCAAATTGTCAAACAGCTGATTGCGCTAGAGTGGTGGCTAAAATGGCGAACTGCGAAGTATTTTTCATGGAATAATTTGGGAAATACGATATTTTGAGAAGGAAAATCGTCCTCCGTAATCTCGAGTTGATCAGGTGAAAAATAGGATTTATATGTCAACGTTAGAAAGGTGTAGAATTCACGAGACCCAAAGTCAGTCATCGATTTTTCTGTGGTCATTATTATCATCAGTGTTATTACCAGTTTAAACCACTATCATTAAACCAATATTTATTATTTTCTATTGAATAATTAAATCGAGCGCGGATGTTTTTCAAGATCATGTGACGGATTCGTGCCACAACATAACTTTAATTGACAATAATTTATTTAATTGGATGCAATTCTGAACCACAAATGTCATTAGTTTCCTCTTCTATGTTGTAAAAACATGATTTTTAGATTTCCAAAATGCCTGGCACCAGCCTGGTAGTTCCTGTCGTGCTCTGGGGAAAACATGCCCCCACACATTGTATATCCTGCATTTATTTTTCCAAGGACCTCAAGACCTTGGCTACTGGGTGTTATGATGGCCAGATATGTCTATGGTGAGTGACATTTTGCAACATAATCATATCTACTCATCATTTTTCCAGGCAAGTTGACCCAGATACTCTTCACATGACCCCCAGATGTCTTCTGGTGGGTCATACTGCTCCAATTCTGTGTATATCAAGGGCCTCTATGGTACCTGATAATGACTATATTGTCTCCAGCTCAGAAGCTGGTGAGATGTGCACTTGGGACCTTGTTGATGGAAAATGCAGGGAAGCAGTGAAACTCCAACAAGTTCATACAAATATGCAAGTAAGTCATAGGGGGCACACATAACACAACTAACAAGTAACAAGTGAAATTGAAATAAGAAAGAATAATGATCTGTTCATAGAAATCATTTATAATTAATTTACATTTGATTTAACAGCTTTATTTCCCATAAGAAATGCACTAAATTGAATATTTAACTGGAATTGAAAGTGTTAATTCATTTATTTGAATAGTTGATTTTTGTTTCATTGATGAATAATTTCCCAATAGTCAGGGATTATTTATGATGTGCATACTATGTCTTCTTTATGATGTGAGATAACAACTTGTGTAAATATATCATAAAGTGTAATATTCCTGGTAATGATATTTTCTTGAAAAATTATCACCATATTTCACAATTTATGAGTGTTGATAATATTTTAAATTGACATTTTTCAACAATAAAATTATATCTTGCAGGCCTATCACATGTGCAACTGTGAGGATCTTCGTCTGTTTTGCAATGGATATTATCCTGAGATCATAGTCATGGATCCTTTCAGCTTAGAAATCCTCTTCATGCTCTCATCTAAACAGAACCCTGATTGGATAAGTGCCCTGCATGTATGTATCCAAAACATTCAATTCCACTGGTATCAATTTATTGATTATCTTCATTACAACAAGAAAAATTGGTATAGGTGCTGCCAATTCCTGAATGTTAATTAATTAAAATTGAGGATATTCACACCAAATACAGGGTGATTCACTTCAAATGATGTCCCTGTCTGTAGTTTGTTTTCTCTTGGAAAACAACTACTGCCTAAAGTTAATTAATTTGTTATTCTATCTAGTTTTTCTGAAAGTAGTAAAATGGGAACTGTATTTTCTGAATCTGATTTCATTGTATAAACTCATAATATATTGTTTTCCACAAAATCTAGAAAAATGAAATGATGATGGGTGATACCCAGGAATTTATGATTAAGGGTAAATACCCCTGAGCTGGGTATTTATGAAGATATTTTGTATTTATGAACTTTTCAACAGAAAACATGGAAAATTGCTATTTATTACACTATTTTTGCAAATCTAATGTCTTTGAACAGGTTTTTCAATTTGACAACTTTTTAAACAACCAAAAACAATGTTTAAATTGAACAACTTCATGAACTCACTCCCAGTGGTCTGGGATCTGGTATCTGGTACTACAGAAATTACACCCTTTACAAAAAACCCACTTAAAAAAAACTGAATAAAACTTATTCATTAAAAAAACTGACTCCTACCTTATGTCAGAGGAACAAGGAACAATAAACTTAAAAAACAAAAAAACTGACTTTCAGTTTTCTCTTGTGAGTCTTGTGTAAGGAATAATAAAATAATGTTTAAATAAATAAAAAACTATTTTATTCTTCATGTGAGGAACAAATACAAATAACAACTCAGAAGGTAAATAAAAATTTTCATTTTCCCACCTAAGACTTCAGTACGATATAGTCACCCAGCCATCTTCGGACGACCGAAAGTGACAGAAAACGGCGAAAATCCACGCGAATTATCGCTTTTCCAGTAGAAAATGACACGCTGAATCGAATGAGACCATAATCAGCTCCATAGGAGAGATAGTTTTTGAGATATCTGCGCTCAAAGTAAGATTTTCGCTTTTATTGCCAATAGGAGCACTCCGGTAGGCTACTACGTCTCCATTTTCCAAAATTCCCCAATTTTCACCACAGATTCGTTCATTTTGACATCGAATTAGTCTATGTGAATTTTTTCAGATTTTTAATAGGCCAAATAAAAATTTTCATTTTCCCACCTAAGACTTCAGTACGATATAGTCACCGAGCCATCTTCGGACGACCGAAAGTGCCAGAAAACGGCGAAAATCCACGCGTATTATCGCTTTTCCAGTAGAAAATGACACGCTGAATCGAATGAGACCATAATCAGCTCCATAGGACAGATAGTTTTTGAGATATCTGCGCTCAAAGTCAGTTTTACGCTTTTATTGCCAATAGGAGCACTCCGGTAGGCTACTACGTCTCCATTTTCCGAAATTGACCAATTTCTACCACAGATTCGTTCATTTTGACATCGAATTAGTCTATGTGAATTTCTTCAGATTTTTAATAGGCCAAATAAAAATTTTCATTTTCCCACCTAAGACTTCAGTACGATATAGTCACCGAGCCATCTTCGGACGACCGAAAGTGCCAGAAAACGGCGAAAATCCACGCGAATTATCGCTTTTCCAGTAGAAAATGACACGCTGAATCGAATGAGACCATAATCAGCTCCATAGGACAGATAGTTTTTGAGATATCTGCGCTCAAAGTCAGTTTTACGCTTTTATTGCCAATAGGAGCACTCCGGTAGGCTACATCGAATTAGTTTATGTTAATTTCTTTAGATTTTTAATAGGCCAAATAAAAATTTTCATTTTCCAACCTAAGACTTCAGTACGATAGAGTCACCGAGCCATCTTCGGACGACCGAAAGTGCCAGAAAACGGCGAAAATCCACGCGAATTATCGCTTTTCCAGTAGAAAATGACACGCTGAATCGAATGAGACCATAATCAGCTCCATAGGACAGATAGTTTTTGAGATATCTGCGCTCAAAGTCAGTTTTACGCTTTTATTGCCAATAGAAGCACTCCGGTAGGCTACTACGTCTCCATTTTCCAAAATTTCCCAATTTTCACCACAGATTCGTTCATTTTGACATCGAATTAGTCTATGTGAATTTCTTCAGATTTTTAATAGGCCAAATAAAAATTTTCATTTTCCCACCTAAGACTTCAGTACGATATAGTCACCGAGCCATCTTCGGACGACCGAAAGTGCCAGAAAACGGCGAAAATCCACGCGAATTATCGCTTTACCAGTAGAAAATGACACGCTGAATCGAATGAGACCATAATCAGCTCCATAGGACAGATAGTTTTTGAGATATCTGCGCTCAATTTTCTTGCCAATAGGAGCACTCCGATAGGCTACTACGTCTCCATTTTCCGAAATTGACCAATTTCTACCACAGATTCGTTCATTTTGACATCGAATTAGTCTATGTGAATTTCTTCAGATTTTTTATAGGCCAAATGAAAATTTTCATTTTCCCACCTAAGACTTCAGTACGATAGAGTCACCGAGCCATCTTCGGACGACCGAAAGTGCCAGAAAACGGCGAAAATCCACGCGAATTATCGCTTTTCCAGTAGAAAATGACACGCTGAATCGAATGAGACCATAATCAGCTCCATAGGACAGATAGTTTTGAGATATCTGCGCTCAAAGTCAGTTTTACGCTTTTCTTGCCAATAGGAGCACTCCGGTAGGCTACTACGTCTCCATTTTCCAGAATTTCCCGATTTCCACCACAGATTCGTTCATTTCGACATTGAATTAGTCTATGTGAATTTTTCAGATTTTTAATCGGCCAAATAAAAATTTTCATTTTCCCACCTAAGACTTCAGTACGATATTGTCACCGAGCCATCTTCGGACGGCCGAAAGTGCCAGAAAACGGCGAAAATCCACGCGAATTATCGCTTTTCCAGTAGAAAATGACACGCTGAATCGAATGAGACCATAATCAGCTCCATAGGACAGATAGTTTTAGAGATATCTACGCTCAAAGTCAGTTTTTCGCTTTTCATGCCAATAGAAGCACTCCCGTAATGTGCTACGTCTCCATTTTCCAAAATTTCCCAATTTCCACCACAGATTCGTTCATTTCGACATTGAAATAGTCTATGTGAATTTTTTCAGATTTCTAATCGGCCAAATAAAAATTTTCATTTTCCCACCTAAGACTTCAGTACGATATAGTCACCGAGCCATCTTCGGACGGCCGAAAGTGCCAGAAAACGGCGATAATCCACGCGATTTATCGCTTTTGCAATAGAAAATGACACGCTGAATCGAATGAAACTATAATCAGCTCCATTGGACAGATAGTTTTTGAGATATCTGCGCTCAAAGTCAGTTTTTCGCTTTTATTGCCAATAGGAGCACTCCGTAGGGTAGTACGTCTCCATTTTCCAAAATTTCCCGAATTTCACCACAGATTCGTTTATTTCGACATCGAATTAGTCTATGTGAATTTCTTCAGATTTTTGATAGGCCTAATAAAAATTTTCATTTTTCCACCTAAGACTTCAGTACGATATAGTCACCGAGCCATCTTCGGACGGCCGAAAGTGCCAGAAAACGGCGAAAATCCACGCGAATTATCGCTTTTCCAATAGAAAATGACACGCTGAATCGAATGAGACTATAATCAGCCCAATAGGACAGATAGTTTTTGAGATATCTGCGCTCAAAGTCAGTTTTTCGCTTTTATGCCAATAGGAGCACTCCGGTAGGCTACTACGTCTCCATTTTCCAAAATTTCCCAATTTCCACCACAGATTCGTTCATTTTGACATCGAATTGGTCTATGTGAATTTCTTCAGATTTTTAATAGGCCAAATAAAAATTTTCATTTTCCCACCTAAGACTTCAGTACGATATAATCACCGAGCCATCTTCGGACGCCCGAAAGTGCTAGAAAACGGCTAAAATCCACGCGATTTATCGCTTTTCCAGTAGAAAATGACACGCTGAATCGAATGAGACTATAACCAGCCCTATAGGACAGATAGTTTTTGAGATATCTGCGCTCAAAGTCAGTTTTACGCTTTTTTGCCAATAGGAGCACTCCGGTAGGCTGCTACGTCTCCATTCTCCAAAATTTCCCAATTTCCACCACAGATTCGTTCATTTTGACATCGAATTAGTCTATGGGAATTTTTTCAGATTTTTAATCGGCCAAATAAAAATTTTCATTTTCCCACCTAAGACTTCAGTACGATATAGTCACCGAGCCATCTTCGGACGGTCGAAAGTGCCAGAAAACGGCGAAAATCCACGCGAATTATCGCTTTTCCAGTAGAAAATTACACGCTGAATCGAATGAGACCATAATCAGCTCCATAGGACAGATAGTTTCTGAGATATCTACGCTCAAAGTCAGTTTTACGCTTTTTTGCCAATAGGAGCACTCCGGTAGGCTGCTACGTCTCCATTCTCCAAAATTTCCCAATTTCCACCACAGATTCGTTCATTTTGACATCGAATTAGTCTATGGGAATTTTTTCAGATTTTTAATCGGCCAAATAAAAATTTTCATTTTCCCACCTTAGACTTCAGTACAATATAGTCACCGAGCCATCTTCGGACGGCCGAAAGTGCCAGAAAACGGCGAAAATCCACGCGAATTATCGCTTTTCCTGTAGGAAATGACACGCTGAATCGAATGAGACCATAATCAGCTCCATAGGACAGATAGTTTTTGAGATATCTGCGGTCAAAGTCAGTTTTACGCTTTTTTGCCAATAGGAGCACTCCGGTAGGCTACTACGTCTCCATTTTCCGAAATTTACCAATTTCTACCACAGATTCGTTCATTTTGACATCGAATTAGTCTATGTGAATTTTTTCAGATTTTTAATCGGCCAAATAAAAATTTTCATTTTCCCACCTAAGACTTTTCAGTACGATATAGTCACCGAGCCATCTTCGGACGGTCGAAAGTGCCAGAAAACGGCGAAAATCCACGCGAATTATCGCTTTTCC